TCTATAATGTAGTAAATAAAGCAGAAAACGATTAATTTTTTATTGTCTTGTTCCAATTGCCACTTTATACATCTCACTTTATACTCATTTGAAAGCGTCAGTTAATGCCTAATAATGACGTACTTTATCATCCTGCGAAAGCGTCCATCACTCTGTTAATTCAGTTATGGCGGCACCAAGATAAATTCGATGTTACGCAGTGCACATTTCTATCAATAGTCAGTATATATTTCGCTTAATCAATATTATAAATTAATTTAATAATATCAACAAATATTGGTCTTAGGAAATATTCAAATTTTTTTAATTAGTTCATAGTCCGCATATAATTTGTTTATAATTTGTTGAACGCTGATGATGAGTACATGGCCATACTCGAAACAGAGTTTTATGGTTAATCACATTTCAATAAATTAACCAAAATTTTTTGTTGTTTCTCTTACTTGTTATTTGAACCCTTTGAATTTAGTTTTACTTTTTATTATATTTGAGTTTAAAAATGTATATAACAAACTACTTAATATGGATACGAACGCACACAAACCGCTGAGACATAAAACCGAAGAATTTTTTAAATGCAAAAGAAGTTCTCTAATATATTAAATTGGCATAATCGATTCGATATATTAACTGGGTAGTCTTTATAAAACTGTTCAATTGGGGATATTTTCACAGTTCGAGTGAAATATATTTTTAAATCGCACTTTTTTAATATATGCTACTTGTGATTACATATTCTAAATTTCATTTGAACCTTTTAGCAACGAAAGAAACATCATATTTTACTGATGATTGTCTTATTTTCTTGAAATCATCAACCCTAGAGTTATAGGGGCCTGTTTACCAGATCGTAACATAAGCGATAAGTTTTTCGACTTGTCGAATGGTTTAAATTGTGTTTCTTTACAAAGTTATCTTTAACATTCATGTGTAAAGTGTTCTGAAAATCACAATTATGAGCAATTGTTGTCAGTTTGATGGTATATTCTGCTACACAAAATTTTGGTTTCTTTGCCTTTATTTTACAGAAACTGAAACTCTGTTCTGCCTCAATTCCAATCTATAGCTATTTTTAAAATCACGGTCATCTAAGCTTCTAGGTTTCTGTCTACTAATCTCTCCGTGATATTTCAATATCTTCATTGTTCTTATGTATTAAGCAAAATTTCGAGGTTAATGAAATTTTCTAAGTACCAGAGAGAGTTTTTTGTTATTGACCCTTTCTAGACCACCTCCATTCATTTGAAGTTAAGATAAGTTACACTTTGGCTACTGATGCTTTCTAAGTCCAAATAACTGCATGAACCAAAAAAATGGTTGCAGTACAAAACTCCATACTTTAAATACGTATACGTATATATGTTATATATATTCATATTTATGTAAAAAACGGAGCTGGGAACCGTATTTGTTATTGAAGGCTGGTTGGTAACGCAAACAATACGGAAGGAGTAGCCGTGGTAAAAAAATTGAAAAGCGAACTCGAGATGAAGTTTTTTCGTGCGACATGCTTTATTATAATTATCACCTTTGTTAATATTACTAAATACATCTCACATATATATCTACACATATATCTGGTTATTAAATTATTAGGAATGACTGTTTATATGGCAGCTGTATCTTAACCTGAACCCACATAAACACAAGTTTGTACATCATTTCATATTAGTATGAGCACATTCTGTTTGATTATTTAGTTTAAGTAGCAGCTATGGGATGTACTTTTTCGATTTTGACTAATCTGAGAAATTACCAAAGACTTTTTCCGAAAAGTATGTTTACAAAGTCATATATGAATAGCTCAAAATCTGAGGAACTGTTTGAGTTCAGATAGACAGACGGACAGACAGTCAAAAGGACAGATAGAAAGTTGAACTTTTCTAATGAAAGCTAATGTAGCTAATCAAGAATGTACTTTATGAGTTTCTCAAAGTTTCCTATATGTGTTACAAAAATCTTGACAAACTGAATATACCGTTTTTACACGATTTTGTGTGAAGGGGAAAGAAGTTAATAAAGCATAGTTGATTGAAAATATATAAATTTAAATAAAATAAAATAAAATAAAATAAAATAAAATAAAATAAAATAAAATAAAATAAAATAAAATAAATAAAATTAAAATAAAATAAAAAAATAAAATATATATAAAATAAAATAAAATAATAAAATAAAATAAAATAAAATAAAATAAAATAAAATAATATAAAATAAAATAATATAAAATAAAATAAAATAAAATAAAATAAAATAAAATAAAATAAAATAAAATTATATAATATGAGTGAATTTATGGGAGGTCTTTAGTTCAATGTTTCGATTTTAAATATTTAACAAAAATGCACAGAATTTATGAAAACAATATCCATTATTGTAGTTTGAACTCAAAGTGAATTGCACGGCAATTTTCAGCTAATTTCCTTTAATTTCCGTTTGTTTTTTCATTTTTGCTGAATATTTAAACTAACAAAGTGCAAAATTATAAACAAAAGCCCATAATTAGGACACATTTTTGACATACAATGAAGTTGGCGTGTTCACATGTGAACACAGCTATTTTGTATTGTCAGTTGTTTTGTTGTTAAATTCCTGCATGAAAATTAATAAATAAAAAATGTCAACACAAAATTAGTTAATAATTAACTTCAGCTTAGCGCAGACAATATGAAAATTGTTTACAAAAAAGTTTTTGAAATTGTATTAATTTTCCACATAATTAAGCGGAAAAAAATCCTTGCGGTGTATCGTGAAATGTGAGGGGTGCAATTTTAGTCCTGCCCACTGCATTGGATCCGTATTGCTTTGTTAAATATGTTTTGAAAATAAATTGTTGGCACTTGTTTGAGCCTTAATGTGTAATTATTGACATATTGACAGCTGAAGTTGTAATATCACAGTTCCTGCCTTTGTTATTGAACGGTACAAATTTGTAGAATGCACCAGAGCCCTCACATATCGACATGTTTATTTATTTATAATTGTCTTGTTTGTTGTGCATGTTTTGTTGGGACTTAACTCGATGTTTATGATTGCATATCTACAAACATGTCCGTCCGTCTGTCTGTCTGTCTGTCTATTCAACTGTCTGTTCAGTACACAACACACTATTTATTCATTCTATGCAGAATATGTTTATAAGGTAAAACTTTATAAGGTGTCAGTTGCAATTGTTGTTTTGTGTGGTTTTGTTTTGTTGCAATTATATGCAGCGCAACAATCACACAAACGTTATGTTTTATTCATTTATCTGCAATAATATGAACAAAGTTATACTTAGTCCTCGTACAACTGAAACAACACAACATTTGGGTTGCCTCGTTTGATGAATTTGCCTTGCATTTGAAATGCAATGAACACGAATAATTTTGAAAGTAATTCACTTAAATTCACTGCACAGTCGGACAAATGAAAATACTCTTTAACTATATACATTTTCACATAACCAAATGCTGCCAGAAATATTCACAATAAACACAATTGTTATTGTATTTGGTGAATTTATAACCCATAGGCACTCATGTGGTACTGACACTTCTCCATGTTCTCCCAAAATATTATTCTAATTTAGTGTATTTTCCAGCGTTGAAATATTTAGTTTAGTGACTTGCACTCGAAGTTCAAGGAACTTTCAGTTTAACATGAAGGATACTCAACATTTGCATGAAAATTAAAAATATGTGCAAATTTTACATAAAAAGTTGGGTGTTCCGAATTATTTCAATTGCTTCACATTATGGAACGAATAATCTATATACATATGTATGGAAGATAGTAAATAAACATAAAAAAATGTCTTGATAGTTATTTTACTTGTTAAAGAAGATGTATAACTTAAGAGGTATCCTTGCTCTTGATAAAAGTATTTTTATTTTTTTCTTTAGTGTAGAGCAGGACAAGACCAAACCATTCGTCGTCAGTTCATTGTAAGTCACCGAAAATAAAAATTAATTACTAAAATCACATTAAACTAAAACAAAACTATCGAAAAATCTTTAAATGTTACGAGTATACACAACACATCAGGCAAATGGAGAGAGAGCATGCCATTTATGTTCGAAGCATCATAACCGAAAAATCTTAATCTTGATATGATTAATGTGTTGGATCCATAACGTTCCATGGTAGCCATATTGTGTTCACCTACATTCCTCACTAAATAGGCAATACATTAATTAATTTTAACCAATAAACCAATAATCATTAATAATCATTAATTTATTCAAAAAGATACCGTTTAATGTGACGTTTCAAAAAGCGACAACTTTTATTCAAAGTACTCCATTGTTTCATGCAAAAGTAATTCACTCATTCTAACCCAATACTTCGTTGTCACTTTTTTGAAATGAATTATCTTTTGAGATGAAGTATCGAATCAGACTTTAGATTCAGTAAGCATTTTCCTATTGCAACTATCTCTCTATAGGCAATAATTTTGTACACTTTTATTTGCCTAAGTCAGCTAGGCAGGCAATCATCTTATAAATTCTGTAGGATTACTGCCGAAAAGATGTGCCTTATTCAATATTTTTTTTATTTTTTATCGCTAATACCATATTCAATTAAAAGGCTCTTATGAGTGGTTGTAGTTTTGGAAAATATTTTCTCTACATCTCCGTGAATTATGACTAGTTTATTACTAGTATAGAAAATGCAAAGATGCGTACGCTTTGGTCTGTAGTAAAATGAACTCCAAAATTTTTAATAGATATAGAAATTGTCTTCAACTTATCATACAATATATGTCAACACGTTGATTTTATCTCCTTTGTCTATAACAAGCATATATCAGATGATAAAAGTCTGTCATGCGATAACAAACTTTCCACTAATATCCTTAAAAGTAACAACTTCAATCTCATCTTTGTGGCCTAACGCATTAGTTATATATTATATGTGAAATATATTTGTTTGAAAAAGTCTTTACAAAACAGTAACCACTGCTTTATATTTAATTTAAAAAAATTTGATGTGTAAAATATTTTCATAAAGCACAAATATTATACTTCAATGTATTCGTTTATGTTATATATCGTTAACCTTTGTTTCATATTTTGAAGTTCCACAAAGGATTCAATCGTGTCATTTCGACATCAGTGTTTTAACATTTTGGTAAGTAATTCGAAATTCCCATAATATAATTACTCACTATTTATGGTCACTAGACGACTGCATAAATCCGCTGTACAAAAATGTTGCTACTAAAGGAACCTTACATGGATGAACCATTTATTTTCAAACCCCGCAAGGTGGATCCATATAAAGGCTTAACAAACCCAGAGAAGATTTTTGTCAAGGCAATGAAAGTTGAACCTGTTATGATTACCAGGAATTTGTTTGATGACAACAAGCTTTGCTTTCCTCGTCCACAGACCAATTTTACGGGGTATGGCATTGATCGCAGATGTAATCAGTTTTATAAAACAACTAATTCTGAATACGGCTTTCGTCCCCCTAACGATTACACCATTCCAAGACGTTTCTTCGGTAACAAACATGAACTTACTTCAACCCTTACCGACTTCTCTCCACATATGGGCCTACGTTATACTCTTAACCTGTTGAAAAAGCCAAACCGCTATATACGTTTGGCAACTAAGAAGCATTAAGTTTCCTTTAGTAAGCTTTTGAAATGCGTACTTTTGATACATTTATCCCATTCCAAAATTTTCCGTGAATGTATATTAGAAGATAGAAATATATTTTGTACAGAAATATTAAACTGTGACTTTTATCTGTCTTAACGATTCCATGAAGACGTTTCCAAAGTTACCAAAATTGAAGTAGCATATCAGAAAATGATATGAAATAATAATTATTCATCAGCGTAGGATATTTCATTGATCGGAAATGAAGATATAAATTCACATATATATTTGTTAACTTTATCTCAAATAAAATTACAAAGAGATGCACGATTCCGATATTTCGGATTCGCCAATTCCACAAAGGGTTTTAGTAAAGGCAAGTATTTTGAAGAATTTCTTTTACTGCGCTAGTTGTACTTGTCAATAGAACTTAGTTTTCGACAAATTTTAAAGCAGCGAATCACAAGTATTTGTAATATATTTAAGATTTATTAGTGAGTTTCTGCTTGGCGCTAGATTTAATAAGACTGCAATATTAGTAGCCTAGCACATGTCCTTATAGTTCATATAGACCAATATTCTAAAATTTTTAGAATGCCTACCTTGTTTTGATAATTCCGACTACAACATATGCCTTAGTAGTATGACTTTTAAATATTATATAGATGAGAAATTCAAGGGCAACTGCACTGCGCTTTAAGAAGATTAAAGTCAAGAATACGTTGTTATTACAGGATCAGTTTAGTCTGCTTCAGATTGGCTTCATATCTCAGACATCTAATATTGCAGGCAAACTAAATAGTATTGGATTATGCTTAATAGTGCATCATCCAATACGACATATGTACTCTGAAGCATTTAGTAGCTAAAAGCAATTCATTGTAATACTATTACGCTTTATTCGTTGTTTCTTCTCGTGACGAGTTCCAATACCCTAAAATGAAAAATGGAGACAATAAATAATGAAGAATGGGAATGAGTAATATCGTTTTTTGCACCATTATTACTCGTGGCTTTAAAAAATCGAATTTTCTTGCCTTTAAAATAAACTGGCAATTTAGTTTCAGCACCCCTTTCTTTTGTGGCAGGAACAGGATGTTGTGGTGTCTTAGATGGTATCATCGCATTACATAGTATCGATTGCGAGACCAAAATGCAAGAATCAGTGATGGATGACTGATTGCCATTCTTCAAATTGCTCTACAACTTCACTTATACTATGTTTTCACTTAGGCTAATCAATGTCTTTAAAATATTTTTATATCTATTTTGAATGGTTATTGGATGGATTTTGTGATGCATATCTCACTGCTTATAAATTCTATTTTTTATATTTCCTTTTTAGGATTTATTTTTGTTTAAACTTGATAAGGTCACAACTTTTAAAAAATATATGATGACCTTTATCAATATATATAATGGTCTGATCTAAAGCTTCAGTTAACTTTTCTCTGAATCGATTCTATCAGGAACTTAAACTCTCAAACTTTACACTTTTAAATATATTTTTCTGTATTTATATTAAATTTCTAGATCTTAAAAAAAGATATTAAATAAAATAAAGAGAAATAAATTTTTCGCCTTTTCATTGAGTGCAATAAATAATAATTAAAATCCTTTGCGCTAATTGCACTTTGGAGTGTCTGCCTGCAAAGAAGCAGGAAGGATGTGTATCGTGGAGTATGTGAAAGCATATAAATTTAACAAGCACTTATATATAAATTTTAAAAACATATAAAATACAATATGCACCTACATGTGTTATTATATGCTATTAAGATTTCTTTAGTAGAATTGCGTTGCATATAACAATAAAAGAACAAATTACACACATAGCACTGCAGAAGATTACAAAAAATATCTACGGAAGCCTTTCTTCATTACTCGCTACTGAAGCGGGGTTAATAATGCTGAAAAACGAAAAAAAAAACAAAGAGAAAAGAATGGAAGAAAGCTATCAAGTTCAGTATAATGCTCGTGCAACACTGACACTGCAATTTGGTGCAACCTGGCTGGATGCAGCCTTAGGAAAACGCGCTTAAGGAGCTTAAATGCAATAATTTATAGTATTACAGCGAAAATCCCACACCAAGTTTACAATAGCACAAATCCTGCCATTGCATTGCAGCTAGTAATTTGCAACAGAATTTAATACCAAAATCTTTAACAGTGAATGCGCCAACACGCCTCACGAAAAATCCTCTTGCAAAATGCATCCTTACGGTGGCTGTACAAATTTTTATACTAACTACTGTTAAAATGGCAGTATGGCAGTACAACGGCAGGTGCTGCTGGTTCCTGGAATCGGTCCGAGCAACTGCTAACAGGAGTTTCGCTTGCATGTAATTAGTATCGCATACTCGGTAATTACAACGGGTTTAACTTTAACTCCGTAGAATGATATATAATTATTTTGTATGTTGCTCATTTACATGAAAAATTGCTCATTCCTAAGTAAGAGAAAACAATAGAAAATAATTTATTTAAGATTTAAATATTTTAATTATTGTTTATGCTACACATAAGTAAATCGTAGCACAAAGCATGAGCAACGAAGACATAGTTTCATAAATTTGTGAAGAGGAATTTGAATTATCAAAGTTGGGTTTCAATAAGAGTTAAAAATGCATACAAGTCGGAGAAAATCAAGTAATTGTATTTTTAAATATAACGGCGATTGCATTTCATCCAAATAATTGAAACATTCCGACCGTCTCCACACAGTGACGACGGTCGGAAAAAATTATGTCAAGTTAGAGGATGGACTAGAAAATATTTTTGTTAGAAGTGATTTTGCAAAGATTATATTATTTCCCTATTATATTCCCTATTTCCCCTTTTTCCCTATCTTGAATATATTATTTTCCACATATTTACTTGTTTGCTTCATACTTCGATATTGTTTGCTTCGATATTGTTAGGTTGTGTAACGTTGAACTGGAAGTTTCGTAAACCAAAGCCACTTAACCACATATAATAATCTGATCTGATACCATTGATCTGTATATTATAGTGTGAAGATAACTTGAACATAGTTTTATACTTTTTACAATACTCACAATAACGTTTCTTCAATATGCTAAAAACATGATCCTTATTATAAGAATGATCTCTTATAAGATCATAAGGTTTTTTGTATTTAGTCCAAATTCATATTGGATTAGCCAAAAATGAGCCAGATAGAATAAGGTGCAATAAAATATTTAGCGGGCCTTTTAGCATATATCTATAGTTGAAGTAAGTTAGGTTATAAGTGTAAATGCATAATTTTTTTATATACAAAAATTGTGATTTTCCTCGTATTTGTTACAATATAAGTTATTTACATAACACATGTCGACTAAGGGAATATTTCTTATTTCATTCTCCATTTAGTCGCCTAACGAAACTTCCTCAATAATTTATATATCATGCCTACCAAACAAATGCTTTGGTAATATTTTAGGAATTTGATGGCCACGTAGAATTTTAAATATGTAAGTACATCAACGAACAATAAACCAAGGATATCAACAAACTAGTCATAGGATAAAATATACCACGCAACACTTCACTGGAACTTCCAAGACAACAGGCACAGAAAAAAACAATATAAAATCTGAAGAAGATAACAAATGATACTGGCAAATCTTTAAATGAATTAAGTTATATTGCTAGAAATAGAAATTTGTTGCAGATTTCATGGAACAAGTTAATGCTCCTAATGAAGTACGGCTAATAATAATAATATATGCCCTAATTCGATTTATCAGTCATCAGTTCCAGTTATACCTGTCGAATTTGATATATGATCGGTTCAATCATATTTTCGCTTCATTCAATGGTTATTTATCTGAGATCCGATAGCTATTTTTCACAATTTTTTATTCATAATAGTTTTAGGCTATTAAATCTCGTACATCTTATAAGTAAAGTGAAATTTATATTTAAAATTTCGTCTGTATAGTCACTCTCAATGATTCGTAATAAAATAAAATAAATTTACAGCTGTCTTATGATTTCGTTCTGATATAATACAGCAAGTGAATTTATTAATAAACCTTCACAGCAAATTAACAAAAAAAATACTCCAAGTTCAAACATACAAGTTAATCACGTCTTTAGGTCAGTTGACTAATAAACACTAAGTCTGATTTTCCGATTTGACAATTCCGGTACGTGTACAATCCTTGGTATTGCAGTCTCAATTATTATTTACGAATACTTAAACATAATGAATAATTCGAAGATCACTAATAACGGGTATTTGACAATACTCAAAGTAGCTATATAGTCAACGAAAAATTCAATTCATTAAACCACATAAAAATTCAGTACTGTTCGAAACCGTTACTTCTTTTTTTGTTACTTCTTTTATCAATTATTCATTCCAATCCATGAATATATTCTTAAATCTTCTATATTGTATTCATGATGTAGCTAATTTGATTTAGATTGCATGTATAATCCTTAATGCATACTGAAAAGAGAAAAGAGAATAATGTCTTTAAGGTTAGAGGTCTTTAAGTTCTGCACTGAGCATTCAGCAAACATCTCTGTTTGGTTTGGTTAGGTCAGGTTATGCTGGCACACCAAAAAGGGCACGCGAAGACCATTAAGTTCTATTACGATACAAGATCAGAGTCTAAATTTTTAGCGACAGTGTACATCACTTAGGATGCGCGTATTATTCGCGAATTTTATTATTATTTCAACAGAAACATCAGGTATGTAAATATCTCAGCTATGTTTATAGAAAATCGTAAATGCCTAACCTGAATCAGCCTAGCTCTTCGGCTAACCTCCACTTTTCAACCTGGGAATAGCGTAAACCGGGCAATACAAGCCGCCTGCACGAGGTGCAGCAGATGAGGATGGTGGAAGTCAGGCATACATATGGCCTAAATATGACCTGTTTTTTATGTTAGGGGTGGTTACAATATGCAGCTCGATGCGTCTGTATTCCGGTGGATGTAAACCGCGTCTGTTCTTTATGTTAGAAACGATGGAAACCTATGTGCTTAGTCATTCAAAGGATAATAAATCCCAACAAACTCCTACTTTGTGTTTATACCTATCGGCCGGAAATTTATTCTCTTGAACCAAGAGTTAAGCAAAACATTGATCAAAACCTCACGATTAGAAAGTCTTTAAA